TTCAAGAAGTTGTGAGAACGTCAATGGGTTTCACAATGTTACGTTTGGCCCGGGTGGTAAGGCAATAATATCCTGCTCAGTGTTTTGGTAAGATTCCTGGTTTCAACCTTTGAAAGCTTTCTCGGCTTTCGGGAGTATTTTCCCCCGTTTGTCGGTCATTATTTAAGCGGGCGCGGGAACCTGAAGTGAAATTACGTCACTCAGTCATCTCTTCTTCTCGTTCCAAATATGGTACTTTTGAAAATGAATAATCACGAGCATCGGACAAAGCAAACATATGAGAGTTACACGTTTCAACCCCTTATGAGTTTCTGTTTTTAATTAATAATAATTTTATTTAACTTTAAAAATATGTACATAATTTACAAAAAATATTTGAAGTAAGAATTTAGCACCATCCAACACTAAGAATTATATAAATCATGAAAATACAATCACTGTGCCGAAAACGATTTCCCAAATACATTCCTTGCGGCTTAGATGCGATCAATAACTCTTGCAGGCAGTCCTGAGTTTTGAATTAAGCCATTACAAAAGAGAATTATCCGTCTCTCATTTAAAAAAGAAACAAGTTAAAAGGAATAAAATCTCGTATTCCTAAATTCCTAATTCTTTAAAAAGTTCCTAAAAGAGATTAATTCGGGCAGGCTCTAATATTTTCGATCTGTAGATCTGAGTCAGCAAAGTCTAGCTGTCGTTTTCTGGATCCTGAGCCTCTCAAGCATAGTATCGTAGAGCGTGCGATGGCGAAAGATACTTTAGCTCTTATCCAGGAAACTGCGCTTCAGTAACTTTCTCCCTTCTTATTTCCGATCAGCTCCGCAAGTCTGCTTTGGTACTTAACACACTCATCCGCCATTCCACCTGTGATCGTGAAAACTAGGGGAGTGAACGTTCCCTGTTCGATCTCCATTACTCTTTCCGCATACTGCCTCTTCTTCTCGTTCTCATACTTCTTGTAGATCTGCTTAGGGTGGGCGTGTCCGTTATTTCCCAGTCGAATCGTAACTTGATTGCATCGCTAAATTCCTTCTTATTCAGATTGTAATCTAGCTGTTTGAGGGGAATCACGGTCAGCCAATTTGATGATCCCTTCTCTGGAGCTAACTCAACAGCTCGCTTAGCTTTTGTCGGCAGGGAGTTGTTCACCTGCTCCAGTCTCTCACTTAGACAGTCGTCTTTTTGTTTTCGTGTGCTCAGTTGCAGTGTTCGAATTTCTGAGGTATCTGGAGGCTGGTGCTCTTGCTAAACAATTCGCCTCACGAGCGGATTGGTTACTTTGACAGTAAATTATTATAATAATATTAATGATAATAATAATGATACAGTGATACAAAATATACGTGATAAATAAGAAAAGATACAGCACTTGTCGTTTTCTGAACTCATCCACCGCCAAACGCCAGTTGTTTTAGTTCGAACAATGCCGCTTGACGTTTGTGTATCTATGTTTTGTTCTGTTCTGTTTTTAGAACATGAATGCCTCTGGATTCAGAGTCTGTGTCAAAGAATTGTTTGATACCAGATATGATCCCTTGTCAGTGAGTTATGCAGTGCTTACAGGTAAGCAAATACTGAAAATTTGTTTTAAACTGATATAGTTATTTCGATTAAACATACAAAAAGTCGTATTATCGTAGGCTCTGTGCACATGTGCACGTTTCTCTGGTTTTCGCGTTAACAAATACATTGAAAGCGGATTTTATACCAGCTGACGTAAAATTCCGAACATAAAAAGGCCCCGTCACTTATAAGCCCTTCGAATAAGCCCGCAAATTTGTGTCCCAAAGAGGCCTTTTGTAAGACCCCACCCCGTATATGTGCCCCTGGAGGGTGGGGGAGGGTTTTTATTTGGGAACCACTCTCACAAAGGGCAAATCGTTCCATATCGGAACCCCAAAAGACAAACTCGGACATGAATCTTCAGATTTCTATGAATAAATTTTGAACTGCCGTATCGTTTAACGGTGATCAAGAGCCATTATTGCTCTTAAGGTGATACATAGGATCGGAATGAAGGTGTTCACAAACAATCACCCAGACGTAGTTAATCGATAGTAATTGATATCAATCAAAGATGAATATCGATTTCCGATATCGATCGATAGAAATCGATAAAGAAAAACAGTTTTGTCTTCGATTAATATCGATGATTATCCGATAGAAATCGATGATTATATTTTAATCGATTGTTATCGATTACTATCGATTGCTATCGATTGTTATTAATTACGTTAATCGATAATAGTAGATAAATTATTTTTTCGGTGACTTCGATTTCTATCGATTTCCGATATCAAGCGATATTCATGGGCGGGTTAAATCGCTTAACATCGAAGATATCGATTGATTTTCGATATCGATTTTTTATCGATTAACTACGTCTGGAATTACGTATGCAATGTGTACGGGGTCTAACAAAATGTTCGTTTGTACCTGACGAAGCCAGGACATAAGGATCCACGAACGCGAAAGTGATTTTATGGTTTTTGATGTTTTTATCACATATAGATATCTGTGATCCTGGCTGGATCTACTTTAATGGCTTTTGCTATGCAGTCAGCAAGAAGTGCGCAAATTGGACCGAAGCTCTGGCTAATTGCCGGCAGGAAAACGCAAGTCTCGTCAGCGTCAATAGTAATGAGGAAAACGTATTTATACAACGCCTTCGCAATGGAGGAAAGTCCTGGCTGGGATTAAATGACATTTCCAGGGAGGGAACATTCATCTGGGCAGGAGGCCGGCCAGGAAACTTTACAGTTTGGGCCAAAAACCAACCAAATAATGTTGGGGATGAAGACTGTGCGCATGCGCTTGGCATTGGACACAACTACAAGTGGAATGACGTGAAGTGCAGTGACTGCTATCAGTATACTTGCAAAAAAGGTCAATGGAAATTATATAAACAACCAAGACGTCTTTCTATAAGTAGATAGGTTATATAATCCGGGTGAGTTGAGTCCCGTTTAAGAATGTTGGCGGTGAGAGTGACTGCTGTTTCAACAACCTTGTGCATGCTGAAGAACTTAACCATCACCCGCCAACAAGTCGGTTGTTTGCCTGTTTGTAACCTGTAAGTCGTTTTTCTTCGATTTTTTCACTTCGCTCTGCTCTCCACTAACTAAACGCGTCGAGCAGGCTAGCCTGTTCCGCGCTTCACGCTCGCCCTCGCCTTCACCAAATCAGAGTAGAAAAACATCTGCGATTAGTCGAGGAACAGGTACCAATTTCTGTATCTTTGACGCGGTTATAGACCCTAGAAACATAAAAGTCCGTCTATTAAGAACGAGGCTGTGCTGTTTTTTTTTTTTTTTTTCATCTTCCTGTCTCGATATCAGATAACACACCCACCGCTACCATTCTTTCCGTGCTTTCCTGCATGACTTTAGCTCTCTTGAAGCGTTTGCAATGGTTACCCTGGTAATAAGAATAACTTTACACCTTATTTTTTCTTGTTAACATTTTTTTGTTTTCTTGTTTGTGCTTTATCAGACCAGAATGAGTGCAGTGGCAATACGTTCTGTCATCCAAAGGCTAATTGTACAAATCTCTGGGGTTCGTTTAAGTGCACCTGTAACCTTGACTACATAGGAAATGGAGTTAACTGTATATTAAGCTTAGGAGGTACATAAGAGACATTTTAATAACATAAGAAACTAATTGCATTTTGACATGAAAACTAATAGGAGTGAAACGTTTCTGAAAACCCAAACCATTAATAATTCATAAAGAAAAAACAAAAAAGATGACAACCGTGACGGTGGTTTGGATATCGGATACTAATTAAAATTTTGAGAACTTTATCTTTGAATTTCTCCAAGAATTATTGCTCATTTGATTAGCTACATCCAAAATTCCATTCAGTGTTTCATTCGATATGCAGACACCTCGAAGTTGGTCTTAAAAATCTCGACTGCGCCTCGTTTTTCAACCAACTTCTCAGTGTCTGGATATCGGATGAAACACTGCGTGTCGTTTTGGATATATTACTTCTAACCTGTCCAAACTATATGTCTTCGATATGGCAGGGTTTTCAGGCACGTATTCTTCTGTTTTCAAGTCTTGTTAGATCGCCTAGGTATATCAATTTCACAGATTTTGAGTTGATACCGATCTGTGATAAATCTGTGTTTGTCGTTAACATATAAAAATTTGTATATACAAATATTTTATTTTTGTATATTTTTTTATATACAAATATTTGTATATAATATGTTGTATACAAATCAAGGGATTGCGTCCAAGGAGGTGTGCGTCTCGTGGAGATTCATAGTATCAAGGCTATTCACGTTGCACCGGCTGTAACTTGGATACACAATTATTTTGATTGAATAAATTTCCTACTGTGAACTGTTTTTAAACTAACGGCTAAAATTTCCTCTTTTACACCAAAAGACCAAAATTTTGGGTTGTGTTAAGGCTAGTCGTTAACCCCATAGAAACCCTCTTTGCAGCCACTACCGGGAGTCCGAAAATGGGCGAAGCGTGATTACTCTCTTTTACGACCCTTTAAGTTTTCGTGCAAAATTGTATTTGTCTTGCACAAAATGTGTTGGGTTATTCCGACACCGTAGTTATTGCTGCAATCGACCTTCCTCTCAGGTTTACAAGACTCTGTTATCGGTGGCAAGCAACATAAACCACTTGTTCTTGTTAATAAAACTGGCTTAAACCTATGGCAAAAGCATTAATTGCGTGGTTCTGTCAGGCGTAACTTAAAATTTCAACTACCCAATTTTAAAGCCAAATGAAAGCTATTGTCGTTGTGTACGTTGAGCTACCGAAATTCTCAACTTAAGACATGCGTCAGTATACTGGAGTTTTGATCAGTCTAAAACGTAACGCTTTATATTCCTTTTTAGAAAATCTGACTAATAAACATGCAAAATTAACGTTTTACATTTTGCAATATGGTTATCTCTTTGCTAATAGCTCATTGAACTGGAAATAAATTCAGTTTCTGTGAAATTTCAAATACTTTGTACCTCATATAATGAAAAATGGTCTTATTTTTTCGCTTAGATTTGGAAAACTCCGTCATTTTGAGATACAACAAAACTGATCACTTGACCTCGTTGAGGAACTGGCTTGCACCTGTCAAATCTCTCTGGAGGCGTTGTTGGCGTGCATCCGTGGACGGCTGGGCTGCAAGTACATTTCACTCCCGATGTGACGGCAAGGGTCCGACTGTGACAATTATAAGGGTCGGGAGATATATTTTTGGAGGATACACCAGTCTATCATGGGGTAAGTGAGCATTGTAAATAGAGATATTACGATAACACCTTTTCCGTTACCAGCACAAAGGAAGTTACATGTAAATGTACTGGTGAGGAATATGGTGGACCATATGGAGTGACTGAGTCTGTTGATCCTCCAAAGAAGGCGTGCTTTTAGCCAGCAGAACAGGTTTAAATTTCATGTTGTCATCGACTATTGAATCTTTGGAAAATGAGGTAACATGGAACTTTTTGTAGCCTCTAGGCACTCTGCATCTGCTACCTTACAAAACATCATTACAAAAATTGTGTTAAAAGACTTTTAAAAAATATGTATTATTTTCATGCACTGTACTCACTGTATGTCTTTTCATTGGCTAAGAGCCTACAGTTCATTTTGGAAATCAGCTTAAAATACAGGCAAGACCCCAATAGTGGGGTCCATTGGGCTGCCGACTGCGCGGTCTACAGTCTACTTGAAAACGCATTATTTTTTTCCAAACGATAAAAATATTCAGTTTTAAGATTGTTCTTTTGGTATTTTTAACTTAAAGGAATAAAATGTTTTGCATTTTGACCCAAAAAAGTTTAATTTCATCGGCACGCACTTTAAACAATATGAAAAGATGATGAGATCGATATCACGTATTTTACCGTGATACTAATATGAGTTGAAAATTCACCCGAGTTTGCTGTTTGTCTAACCCGTGACTAACTTTTCTTCATGGGAGAAAATTATGCGCTTTATAATTCCTCCGAATTTTTGTGCCAGCCAAACAATATCGAAACATTATTCACAGTCCCTGGATATTAAAAAGACTGAACGAAACGCAGTGTAAACCCACTATGTGCCCTTGTTTACTTCTGATCACATGTGCACGAACTCTCTTTTGAAGCGATTCATCTCAATGCACGATATTACATATTATACATGTAATATACCATATATTATATACTGTGAAAGGTTTGAACCCAGGAGTCATTTCAATAGGTTGAGTTTGATCGTCCGGGTGATCGTAGTCCTGAATAGGACTGTTGTTGTTGACAGTGACTGACGTTTCGACAACCTGTGCGGTAGTCATCTTCAGAGTCAAAGTGAGTTGTATCACGTCAGTTGATGGTATTATACTCTGCTTATTGATCTGATTGGTCAATTATGTCGCGATGTTATTGGTCGTCTGTCAGTTAAGCCGTGATGTTATTGGCTATGAAGACTCGTAATCAGTGATTGGTGCGTTTCGATCCGTCTATTGTCACAGTTAAACGGTCGTCTATTGTTAGTCAAATTGTCAGTTCTCCAGTTGTTCTCTCGTAGTTAGTTTTGCTTGATCTCGTCAATAAGTCTTTTGTACGGCGCTGGTAACTGTTGGCTACGATTAGACCAACTCTGGCCCTGTTACGACAGCGACTATACCGTACATCAGAGGCACCTCTGAAACTATTGCACGTATATTACAACCGATAACCACTTTACGGCGACTGCTTACTAATGTCGAGGACAAAGACAAACCGGAGGACAGACAGGGAGCAGTATACAAGATCAAATGCTGCGACTGCCAGGCTTCTTACATCGGTGAAACCGGCAGAAACCTAAGCACGCGACTGACCGAACACAAACGCGCGACGAGGAATGGTGACGTCAACAATCACATTGCTGAGCACCATTTAAAGACGAAACATCAAATTGACTGGGACTCTGCGACATGTATAACGTATTCTACAGACTACTATCAACGTGTTACTTTAGAAAGCTGGTTTACTAACTTAGAACAAACGCCACTGAATCGTAGCCAACAATTACCAGCGCCGTACAAACGACTTATTGACGAGATCAAGCAAAACTAACTACGAGAGAACAACTGGAGAACCGACAATTTGACTAACAATAGACGACTGTTTAACCGTGACAATAGATGGATCGAAACGCACCAATCACTGATTACGAGTCTTCATAGCCAATAACATCACGGCTTGTCGAAACGTCAGTCACTGTCAACAACAACAGTCCTATTCAGGACTACGTTCACCCGGACGATCAAACTCAACCTTTTGATATTATATACTGTACCATATTACACTGTTTTTGCCCCTCACATTTACAGTGTGTTCGTTCGTCGTGTTCTAAACACTTTTAGGAAAATAAGGGTGATGTAAGTCATGTGTATCTTTCGAGATAAATCGATTATAGGATTTTTTTAAGTTCCCATTTGGCGGGAACTTTAGTTTACATGTCCATAAAATGGTATGCATGGTAAGAAACTTTACGCGAGCTGTGAACTTTCAAAGGATTATCGAAATCATGTGCATATTTAATGATGAAAGCTTTTAGCAAGATACAGATACAAGCAAAAGCAAAACCTCTGGCCTACATTGAAAACAACTGTAAGCTCTACTCAGTCACCAGACCTTGTCAGTAATAGCTGCTACTTCCCTCAAGTTGGTCTTTGTGAAGCTCTCGGCTGGCCGGGTGAAGCGTTGAGCTTGTGTGGGAAATTCTCAAAGTTCCTATTTTTGTCCGCGTCTTCTTTATCCTTGTCCGAAATTTAGATCTCCAAAGTGGCGAGTGTTGCAGTAAGTAGAAGGAAATATTAAAATGAAAAGCCAGTCCTCCCAGCTACATGGCGAAGTTGTCACTTCCCTCACTCATGGACGTCCATTTCTTAACATTACGAATCATCTGACATTGATCTGCAACTGAGTTGTTCGCTTCGGTACAACAGCTTACAAACATGTCTTATTTTGGTATCATACTTTGCTCATAAATTGTGGTCATTGATTGCTCGTGTACTACATCGTTAATTCTCTCTTTGAGTTCACGGAACAGCCCGTTCGAAAACTGACGCTCACACTCATCTTTTAGTGTGGACCTACCTTGAATAGCGTGTGGGTTTGTATGCAACGTGAGCATTTTTATGATTCGGTTTTCCAGCGCCAACATCATTAAATGACTTAAATTCGAACAGTGACAAAACTTATAAAGTGACTCCTTTCGATGGTCAGTGATATGGTCGAATCGCTTCGATCAACGCAAATAGCCTTGTTGATTGGCAACCCCTTCTGGGCTTCCTAGGGGGGCGGGAGTGGAGGCGAGGTACAAAAAATATTCTTGCTAGGGAAAATCGTATGGAACAAGTGCTGAGAACATCGTTTCTTGGTACCAGACCTCGTGCCTTCGCTACCCCGGGTGATCGCTTTTCTGCAGAGACGACCGAAAACCGAAATTATAATTATAGCAAGAATGGCCGAAAGGCAATTTTAACTGGGCTGCTAAGGGGCGATTTTTTCTGAGGGGAGGGGGTGGTTGTACACACTCAAGCCACCATAAAGCCTTGTCACCGACCATTGCGTGACATATAGGGCGCTTTCCAATTACCAAAAACTTTGAGAAAGCTCCATGAAGAGGTGCATCGAGTGAAGAACGTGTTCCATTTTCTTTCATGCTCTCGTCATCAAAATTGAAGATGGTGACACAGATATCGCCGCGAAAAGCCTGGAACTGGTCCGGAAAGTTTCGAACGGGTAACCGGACTACATTTTCAAAATCCACTTATTCCCGGGAATTTTTCATTGCAACGCACGGAAAACGTGTGTGCCATTAACATCCCAACCGGAAATTCTGAATTTCTTGGTAACTAGAAGGCGCCCCATCCTCGGAGACCCAGAGGCAGTTAGTCGGGTCGATAAAATGTTCGCGGCTAACTGCCCCTGGGTCTCCGAGGATGAAGGCGCCCAGAATCTCATGTGAGAGTGAAACATAAAGTCATTTGAGCATTGTACCTTTTTGGAAGACTTTCGTAACAAGAAAAATGAGTACCACATTTCAAAGTCAGGGCTGTATAGTAACTTTTCAGCATTATGAATAAAAACTACAAGAAGTAAATCCATCGAGCAATATTTTTTACGTATTCTTGCAATTCTTCTGTTCAGTTTTAGTGAGAAATTTGGCTTTTTCGTCTTCCTCAAGGAGTTTAAGGCCGGGGACATAAGGGGTTTACTTGTGGAAAATGACTTATTTTTCCATAGAAACCAAGACGAAAAGTTGGGTATCAAAACGATATAAAATAGAAAGGAAAGGGAAAGAAAGAAGGCGAGAAAGAAAGATCGAAATAGATATTGCAAAAACCGTCCAAATTTTTTCTTACGCGCATGCGCCAAAACCAAAAATAAAACTTAACTCGCGGGAAAATATGCAAAGGGTTAAAGGGGCGGTAATTCGAGGGAGGCGGAGGGGGTTTATTTGAAGGGGGCGCTTATTCAAGCAGTATCGGTTACTAAAGGAGGTAAAGCATTCCATGTTGTGAAAGTTTTGAACCCAGGAGTCATTTCAATAGGTTGAGTTTGATCGTCCAGGTGAACGTAGTCCTGAATAGCACTGTTGTTGTTGACAGTGACTGACGTTTCGACAGCCTGTGCGGTAGTCATCTTCAGAGTCAAAGTGAGTTGTATCACGTCAGTTGATGGTATTATACTCTGGTTATAGATCTGATTGGTCAATTATGTCGCGATGTTATTGGTCGTTTGTCAGTTTAGCCGTGATGTTATTGGCTATGAAGACTCGTAATCAGTGATTGGTGTGTTTCGATCCGTCTATTGTCACAGTTAAACAGTCGTCTATTGTTAGTCAAATTGTCAGTTCTCCAGTTGTTCTCTCGTAGTTAGTTTTGCTTGATCTCGTCAATAAGTCGTTTGTATGGCGCTGGTAACTGTTGGCTACGATTCAGTGGCGTTTGTTCTAAGTTAGTAAACCAGCTTTCTAAAGTAACACGTTGATAGTAATCTGTAGAATACGTTATACATGTCGCAGATGTCCCAGTCAATTTGATGTTTCGTCTTTAAATGGTGCTCAGCAATGTGATTGTTGACGTCACCATTCCTCGTCGCGCGTTTGTGTTCGGTCAGTCGCGTGCTTAGGTTTCTGCCGGTTTCACCAGAAGCCTGGCAGTCGCAGCATTTGATCTTGTATACTGCTCCCTGTCTGTCCTCCGGTTTGTCTTTGTCCTTGACATTAGTAAGCAGTCGCCGTAAAGTGGTTATCGGTTTGTGAGCAACACGTATATTGTAAGGTTGTAATATACGTGCAATAGTTTCAGAGGTGCCTCTGATGTACGGTATAGTCGCTGTTGTAACAGGGCCAGAGTTGGTCTGAGAGTTGGAATCAGTGTTACTGTGAGTGTTCCGTCTAACAATTAAAGTCCGTGTTGTAATTGTTCTTACTAAAAACGTTGTTAAGATAATCAGTCTCGTCTTGTAGGCTGTCAGGTGAGTCGCAAACTAGTTGCGCTCGTCTCGTCAGAGTCCACTACTGAGCGATAGACTCAGTAAATCAGATAAGGGGACATTACGAGGCAGGCAAGGAAAGGAATCTTTTAAAATCGGTGGGATTCGAACCCACGACCTCTGGACTAGATGAGGCCTGAGGAAGCAAGTCGTCGGTAATTAAGGTGGTGGATCGCGGCGAGGAAAGAGTGTGCGGGGAACATAGAATGTTGTCCCGCATAGCAATAGTAACAAATGATGGAATAAAGACCCTCTTTCTTCGCCGCAGTAACTGTCTACGAGCCTTTTTCTTGTATATCTGCTTACCTTAAAAAAGGAACATTATATGGATCGGATGGATGGCTTTGCTGTGAGTACTACGACAATGTTGCTATTAGCACTTACTTCTTTTTCTTTTCTTTCTCACCCCAAGGTGCCACTTATCAATACGATTCAAAAGCGTTTCTGTTTTCACTGGTGAACAAGCCAGGATGGGCACCTGTCAAATTGCCTCAAACAGGGATATATGCTTCAAAAAAAAGATCCATATACGGTTACAAAAACAATGGGCCTACATTCGGAGGTGGATATGACATTTACATTTCCAACTACGCGTGGTCCAATAGAAATTCTTACAGCGACATTGGCCATACTTACAGCCCACCTAGCGGGTACAGCTTCCACAGCACCTTCGCCAGAACATTCCTGGCAGGAACTTACGGGTTCTCACCAGACGAAGTAGAAGTTTTTTACGAAACAACCAAAATGCAGTGAGCTGCATCAGCCTTGACATTTCGCTGGCGGGGCTTGTTTTCCTGTATTGCGCATAACTAAAATTAAAAATTCATAACTAAATTAATCGCAATTATATCCTGTCCTTGCTAAAGAGGCTATCTTCAACTATAAGGCAATTGGTTGCTTCCACGAAATAAAGCTGGAAAACTGATAGTTGAATAAAAGTACCCCATGATATATTATGTAGAATAATATGATTATTAGGTATGTCACGGCTCTAGGGTTTAGTGTAAAATCCGTTTTTTTTTTCTTTTTTTTTGTGAGCGCTAAAGGAGATGCGTTTTTAATAATCTAAGACGTCACCGATTAAGCTCTCTTATAGTTATGTTACTTTTTCCCTTAAGGGAAAAAAGGAAGAATTTAAGAAATAAAAACCCTTTTTTGAAGTTTTTTTTTTATTAAATCATCTTTTGCACTCGTAAGTTCAAACCGTAACTCCTGATACGATATAGGTGTTTATACGTTTAGCAAGGGAGTTCAGTTCCCAAATTTGAGAGCTAATACATACTTTCATGGTCACTTTTTTTTCTATCAGGCGCTTTGGTAGTCAATAAGTTGGACGAATCTGCACTAGGATTACCATTAACGTAACATGAAAACCAACGGTCAGAAGAGTTTCGAACACAAACAAGAGAGGCAGGATTGCCTAAAAAAGAAAGGATTTCTGAGATCTGACCACCTATTGCCGCACTGATTATGCACAGACTGACAAAAGGTTTTGCATGTTTGAGACGATGTGCTACTTAGCTATGACACACTTGCTGCTTTTGTAATGAATTTCGGGACACAGCTTTTTTAAGTAAACCTTTTGGCATGTTTGAGACGTTGCGCTAAATAGCTATAATAACTTTGCTTTTAATTTTGGTTTTAGTAAAAAGGGCATTATGAACAAACAAACAACAACAGCAACAACCAAAGGTGTAAGGTTTCATGATAGCCACTAAGCAATACCTTTATTATTGTTATTAGTAACTGCGCTTTCTCGAAAAAGAAATCAAATAAGTGTTAAATGTAGTTTTGAGGCACTAAGGTCTGCTTTACGTTGACTTGTATGATTTTGTAGACATATCGTATAAGCAAATTTAATGCTCTTTTCAGTCTCTTGTGTTACCGTTTAAAAAAAGCTTTCATTGTATTTCAATAATAAAGTAACATTGGTGTACCCCGGCAGGGTTCTCTAGTTTACATTATTTCCATTAAATTCACAAAATCGCTTTTATCGTAACGATGTTATGAATTAAGCGTATTATTAACAATTATCCCTCGAGCCCAATGGGCTATTGACTCAGAGGCCATGAGGGCGTGAGGAATAATTGTTTTAGTAAAATCCAACTGGTTAGTCAAAAATATCGAGAATAAAAAAAATTTAGCTAGTTAAAGCTAGGCTTTAATCCTTTTTTACCGCCAAAAAGCTCGCGCTTTTTGCTACTAGTGGGCTATTACATATAGCCTAGTAGTAGCTCAACCAATCAGAACGCAGCATTAATAATAGACCACTAGTTGGATTTTACTAATTTGATATATTTATGGATCTAATTCTTTCTATGTTTTAAAAAACATAGAAAGAAAACCAAGGCCTCGTTTCCGGCGTTTTGCCTTCTCTATTTGAACATGGATAAAGCCCTCGAGAATTCAACTTCATGAAAAGTCGCCTACATTTGACGAATCGAGCGGTTCCAAATAGACGCGATAAAGTTCTCTGAAGTTTGAAAAGGTGCAAAATTCCTTTTTTTAGTGATGTTTTCACTTCCTTCGTCGTCGTCGTCGTTTCTTAAGGTCCCTTATAAGTAGACAAGACGACATAATGCTTCAGCACTGAATTCCAAGCGTGCCCATCCCCCGGGCATTTGTCATCTTGTCGGCCCGGGGGTGGGGCATTTGTCAGTTCTTGTTAGAGGGTCTCAATGGGGTTAAACGATAGGCGTAAAACGGCCAAAAATTTAGCCGATAGCCGTAAAAATAAAAAAAATTTTAACCGTTAGCCGTAAATAGCGTAAAAAAGAGTTAACCGTAAAAGAAAGTGTTCCCTAGATTTGCTTCTTTTAAGGAAGGTACTAAACTCATTTTTATTTCCCGGCTAGTGTGACTCCGTACGCACGTTAGGCGAAGCGCCTTTTAGGTGTTAACCAAGACCTAGGCTCCATTTCCGGCGCTTTCTTGGGGAACTAATTTTTTCCATAGCGAAAGTGTGGCTTCTTGCTGGGGATTAATATTTGCATTTTTCAGGAAGCCGTGCCCTCGAAACACTAGTGAAACAACACGCAGAGAAGTCACTGTTTGTAAAACACGTTGCCGATAAACAACATTTCCCTGTCTTTCTCGGACGCTACGGTAGACATCGCCATGCCTAGTCCCTGTTCGGCGTCTTCCCACGCAATCTCGGTCAAGGCATTTCAGTGGCGAACTCGCTCGGACCACGTGACCAGAAAGGCATCAGCCGCTCGGAATAATGCGGCCTACGGACAAGGCAACGGCAGACAGTCGTTCCGTACAGTCCTTCGCTATCATTAAAAACACTGGACACGGGAATTTTGTTATTGGCCGTTTTCACACTAGTCCTAGAAATGGATCATCCGTTTAAGACTAGACTGTGTACAGTCGCGCCCTCCCCACAGACATTCCTTCTCCGATTTTTTCTGAGGGGAGGGGGCGGCTGTACACAGGCTATCTGGAACGGATAATCCTGTCTTCAAAAGTCAGGCGGATTGTTCATTCAAAATTAAAACTATTCTATTTCCAAATTAAGACGTATCACCTATCTGACTCGAATCATCAAACGGATAACTCGTCTCACACGAATAATCCTTCTCTAGTGTGAAAACGGCCATTTCTGTTATAATGAATGTCGCGCCCCGGCCTTCAGTTGGACGTTCGCGTGTCTGCTTTTGCTTTTTCACAAAGATTGTTTTTAAATTGACTATTGACATTTCTATGTGTAAAATAATATCAGAACTGCAATACTTTATAAAAAGTATGATCTATCAAATGTTAAAATTTTTGAAAAGAATAGCTTATTTCATCCCGAGATGATCCGAAGACCTTTATTTTGATTTAAAGATACAAAAAATACAGGTTAATTAATATTTAACTTTTTGAAACAAAAGAAGTTAATTTTTAACTCGTTAACCGTAACGGAAAAAAATTAACCGATAGCCGTAAAAGAGCCAAAATTTTAGCCGATAACCGTAAAAGCCACCACCCCATTGAGACCCTCTTGTTAATATCGTTCCTTTTTCAATATTTCATTTAAAAATATTTAAAATATTTCTTTAAGGAATATTTTTTACACATATGCTTTAAATGTGCTTTTCGCTCCTTCCCCACCCTACCCCACAGTATTTTTTGCATCAGTCTAAGAAATTGCTTCCCGCCATATTAATCGCCGGTTCACGGCGTAAAGGCCTAGAAAAACTCTGCGAGGTATTTGAACGGTCAGAGCCAATATAAACAGAGATTCCAACCCTCCCGTTTTGGCCGGAAACCTCCTGTTTTCGACGAATATTTCCAGCCTCCCGTTTTCGCTTAATATTCTCTCGTTTTATAAAACTCTTCCTAGCCAAAGAAAGATAATGTTTTCTTTGTTTAACCAATCTTTTTTAGCACGATAGTTTGCCGTTTTTCTGTGGTTTCTCAGCCTATTTTACCCTTTTGGTATCCAAGCATGAGCGTGCGATAACTTTGGGCTCGATAATGTCAATAATGCACTGATGTGATAGTAGGAACCAATAGGCCTCAGCTTCCATTGCCTGTTAAAAACTCCACTATTTTCCATTGACTGTGATCTCAAAATGCAGGAAATAGCATCTTAGAGTCACATATCTTAAAATTCAGTTCACGGGGTAGCATGTCCCTGGATCCCCTAGTGGTTCGCACCTTCGGCGCTCGTGGGCGCAGCTATATACCGCTTCACAAACCACCCTTAATTCAGTTGACAGGGTTGGAATCTCTGTTAACTTTCTTGCAGTTTTGTGTGATCATGCGACGATTAGTACGTGGAGGGAACGGTTCAATCGTGATACGAAATTACTCTGTTTAGCTCGTCCGTTGTTGTTGTTGTTGTTGTTGTTGTTTTCTTTTTTTATCATTGACTATTTTAAATACCTTTGAAAATAAGAAAGGTATTATTAAAATTCTAGTTTATAAATCTGTCATTGTTATTATTCAGATCGATGTGATCTTTTTTGCATTATAACCAGTGTTTAGATTCAGATTTTCACAGATTCCCATAAATATGGCTTTTGCAGCTTATTTGCAGGAAAATGAAATTTTGGTATTGTCCCGGGGTGGGCATTTGCACGCAGCGTGGGTGTTTTAAAGGAACCACCCAGTCCCACTGTGGGGGATCTGGTAGGCTGGTAATTTCGTTAAAACGTAGAAAGAAAATCAACCTCGTTTCCGGCCTTTTTCCCTCAGAAATTGCGTGAGACTCGCTCCTCCCAAATACTGCGCGCGGATAAAGCACTGGTAGGCGGAAAATTTCGTAATGACGGACGACTAACGAAGAGAGCATTATCAGCAGTCATAATCGGGGTAGGAGACTTTAAGTGCAGGGTCCACGCGGTTCCATCGAAATAGCCAAATGTGCTAATTTTAGAACAAACTGCACCACCCTCAACGTCACAAACTCGCGCGGGAACCCTGCAAATTTGCGCGGCTCTAGTGGAATTTCGGGAGATGGGTAATCTTCTTCCCATTTTTCTTTTTTTTTCTTTTGATTGTTCTCTTAATTTTCCTAGTGCTTAATATCTCCATATACAGTGCATGCACAGTGGAAGAATAACCAAGAGCCACCTAATGTTATATAAAAATTACTAGAAATACATTTATCGCAAAAACCTCCCGAAGCTGTAATGGGCCAGCAATAAGAATAAAGGTAAACAAGCCAAATAGGGAAACTATGACTTAAAAAAACAAAAACAAAAACAAAACAAGAGTCGAACCTGGACCATCTGCACCAGGCTGCCAAGGATAACGTTAGG